TATATATATATATATATATATATATATATATATATATATATATATATATATATATATATGTATAATTGAAGTATAATAACAAAAATTGTTGGTTTGACTGATAGCATTTATTTTCCAGTATCCATGTGTTATTGCTAGTAATTAATGACTCAAACAATGTTTGCCCTTCAAAATTCTTCTCATAAGAATTTTCCTACCAGCAGGTGTTGCCATTCTGGTACGCCATCCATGTTTCTTAATACGCATACGTTCATTGGGATGTGGAAAGTGGTATCTCATTTTGTTTCTCACAAATGTTAAACTCCATGAGTTCCCAGATGTTGCATTAAACATTGAGCAAAGTTGGCTTGGAACTCCTACTCTTCTGAAAAGATTAATTTTAATGAAATTATATCCTAGTGCATCTGTTAATGTTATTGTTTAAGATTTTATTACGACGAATCTTATATTGAGGAATATTAACAATATAACTTTAAATTACTTCAAAGTTGACTTCAAGTTTGACTCTTTTAAAAGGGAATTTTATTTCATCGAACAAAATGTTATTTCTCATATTGCAAATTAATAATCAATAAATGCGTCATGTATATTAACTGCACTACATCAAGACAAAATATATCAACAATATCATTATGATTGCGAATAACATGTAAAATACATACGGCAAAGATTGAAATATGCCAGAAATAAATTTGTAAATCATTTTGTCTCGTCAACGTTCTGATGAGATTTTCAAATATACTGAGAAACAATGTTTTGATCAAAAGATTTAAGGTTAATTTTACATAAGTCACCGACGTAAGGTGCCAATTCATGGGACAGTTCCAGCGTCGAGCGTTAAAGCATTAGCCAATCAACGTATCAGGTCCCAGAAGTATACTTGTAGTTCTTGCAGAAAGTGGTACGTTGATTGGCTAACGCTTTAACGCTCGACGCTGGAACGCTCCCATGAATTGGCACCTTTATGGCTTATGCAAGATTCACACCGCGTCCGATATCCGACGTACGACATCCGATATCCAATAGGAGAACAGCTTTCTAATAGAATTCAATTCTCCATTAGAAAGCTATTCTTTTATTGGATATCGGACGTCGTATGTCGGACATCGGACGCGGTGTGAATCCTGCATTATGAATGCGTTCCTTTATTTACTGCGAGTACTGACGGTATAATGTCTTGAAAGTATACTACTAGTAGCGTTCCGTTTTAACTTCGAGCACTGTCGAGGTGCTGCAAGGTGACAAATGGGAACGCATCACCTTACTGCCACTGCTTTACCTCTCCAGCTGCAGTAGCCGCAGCAGGAAGTGACATCAAAATTCATGTCGTCACAAACTCATCGAAATGCTTTCGCAGTGCACTGTAACCTATTTAGGCTGCGTTCCGAAATTCTGCCAATGCTGAAATTCTATAGTATACGTGACATGAATTATAGTTTTCAGTACTAGCAATGAATTTCAGAACGCAGCCTTAGAAACGCTGTTGGTAGTATTGGGTGCTTTCCAATTGCTTAACACATCTTATGGCTTCTGCACACAGGACGCGGTAATGCTTGCCGCGCGGCGGAAGTCCGCGCGACAGCCAATCAATATATTGTTTTTCCGTAAGAGCTAGAAGATTATTACGGAAAGCAGCATATTGATTGGCTGTCGCGCGAACTTCCGCCGCGCGGCAAACATTACCGCGTTCTGTGTGCAGGAGCCATTAGGTTTGTTCGCGTTGTATGCCGCAACGTGCTCTTACTCGCTCCAATGCACTCTGATTGGTCCGCGTGGTAACGTAAACCAATTAGAGTGCGTTGGAGCGAATAGGAGCACGTTGAGACATGCGACGCGACAAACCTCTAGATACACACGTATACAAAACCAGTTTATTGGTCACATATTATCTAAAATATCTTGTAAGATAATATGCAACCAATGGTTTTGTGTAACACAGTGTACACAACTGGAAAGCACCCATTGATAGTACTTGCAATAAATTATGGAACGCAGCCCTTGCATACAGCGCGGAAATACCTATCATACGGCAGGAAGTGACGTGGTGGTAGCCAAAACTTTCAGCTTCTATGGAAAAACAGCATATTAATTGGCTACTGCGTCGCGCAGTAAGCGTTTCCCCGTCCTGTGTTCAGGGGCCATTACGATACCACATGACGTTGTTTGCATTTTTAACATTTTTATCTATTGCACACCAAAGCGATGAGCGAAATTCAATGAAAGCTTTTTTTTTAAGGCCTTGCGTACGATAGAAAAAATATTTGGAATAAATATTAAGTATTTCTTAAACTTAAAATTTTTCATATTTAATATCACGTTATTTTTAATTCCTGATTCTAGGTTAGGTTTTGTTTAATATTATTCCTATTCTTAATATGTGCTCTGTTGTACGCAGGGCCTAAAGAAACGTCAGTGCAACGGGTTAAGGTGTAAAAGTGTCAAAAAGTGCAAACAATACGAACAACCTATAATGTTTATGATTACGGAAATTGTCGAACATTTCCGAAAATTCGATAGACAGCCTTTCATTCGATCCGATATACTTTCAAAAACACAAAAATTGTAAATGTAATATATATAAAAATTAAAGATTTGCAATGTGCTTCTGGAACTTCTTATTATTATTGTATTTAACTTCTTATTATTATTGCATTTTGTCGAAATTACGTAAAATTTTATCGATTTTTTATGCTCGGGAAAAGTAATTTTTAAAATTTGTGTATATAGTGTATATTTCATCAAATATATAATTAGTAAATTAGTTTCTCTTCATAATATGTATGGAGATTAGAATGTCGTGTAATCCCGATGAAAAATTTTTAATGCAAAATTATGTATGAAATTTGTCCATACATAATTATGTATAATTATATATAATCATATAAAATTATATATAATTATAGACAATTATGTATAACAATATGTATAATTACATATAAATCTATGCGTAACTATGTAAAATTATATATGAATTTATATATATAATTATACATAATTATGTATAATTATGTATAATTTTATATAATTATATATGAAAAATTTTTCATTGGGATGTTAATTACTACATCGTTGCTTTATTACTTTTATCATTACATCTTGTATATTCTTGTATCCGTATGAAATTTGTATGCTTTGTGACTTTGACTACATAAGTATGGACTGCCAGTTGGCATTGGGTGCTTACGATAACGAGAGTAGAGCGAATGAGATTTGGATCCGAGAGAATAGTATAATCTCCCATCTACAACTGTAATATTCTATGGTCTGTTTTGTTCCTGCTCTTAAGGCCATCACACACAAAATTACATAGACGCATATGCATAGCATAAGATAGAATGGACCAATGAGCATCGAATATTAAGTATCAATCATCAATATGGCGACTTAATATTCAATGCTCATTGGTCCATATGATCTTATGCTATGCATATGCGTCTATGTAATTTTGTGTGTGATGGTCCTTACAGTCTCATGAACACAGGAGCAGATCAGGCTACAGATTCTCGAAAATATATCGCATACGACATTTAGTGAAAAGCTATAATATACGTAACATGAACTATAGCTTTTCACTCAATATCGTATGCGATATATTTTCGAGAATCAGGGCCCAGTAGCCCTATTCTGTAACTCGTTATTGGAGTTAACGACAGTTTCGTTATCGTTGCGCAACTTTTGTATACCATAGAAAAGCTGCGCAATGATAACGAAACTATCGTTAACTACAATAACGAGTTACAGAATCCCAGTACAGGGGTACTATTCCGTACACGCTTATCGACAACTGTCGGATCGGTAGACGTCGTTGCGCAGCTTTTTTATACCATATAAAAGCTGCGCAACGACGTCTACCGATCCGACAGTTGTCGGTACGCATGTACAGAGTAGCACTCCAGGAGTTCGTCTCACGAACAACAAAGGATACCCTGGTAACACATGTTGATTTTATATAACGTTTTATTATCGTTTGTAAAATATATCAAAAACGTTTCTTAAACGACACGTGTTACTTGGGTAATGTATCATACTTAAAGTGTATTAATATTTTATCTTAAATTTATACTTAGATGTGAGTTTTTCAATTGAATTAAGATTATATATAATATGTAACGTATTTCATACGGTCCAATTAAAATAAATTAATCAAGCTCTTTACAATCTTTGATAATTGCAATCTGATCATCTGATGTGAGACAAGTTTCAAGTAATAACTATTAATACAGGTTTAATCCTTGTTTAAGGAGAGTTTGAGAATCTCAAATAATTAATAAACTGAAATAATATGTTACATAATTTTTTAAATAAAGAAAATAAAATATTAATACACTTTAAGTATGATACATTAGCCTTTGTTGTTTGTGAGAGGAACTCCTGGGGCCCGATGCTTGACGATGTACGAATGAGATACGCATGCGAACATTTACAGTATACGTAACGTGAACTACACATTTTCGCATGAGTATCTCATTCGCATACTATCAAGAATCGAGCTCCTGATCTGCTCCTCTGTTCATGAAACTGCAAGAGGAGCAAGAGCAGACTATAGAATATTATAATTATAGATGGGAGATTATACTATTCTCTCTCGGATCCAGATCTCACTCGTTCTACTCTCGTTATCGTAAGCACCCATTCTCACGCTGTAAACAACATGAAGAGCACCTCCAAGGACTAAGTGGCGAATCCCATATTTTCGATGACATATTGTGAACTCACGTATAGTAGCAAACCTATACCTTTACCAGTTCAATGCTTGATATTCGTTAATTTTTACATACATGTCAAAGAACTACATATTGGACATATTAGAGAACCACAAATATATATTAATTAAATTAATAATAACATTTAATTTTCAAGTAAAATTATTTTATGAAAGTAAATGCATTACAATGTTTAAACAGATTTTTTTAGACACAAGTTAACAAAAGTTGTAATTTTTAGCGGGCAATAATATTATATAATTATAATTAAACAAATATTGCATAATTAAATTCAATAATATATATATATATGCATTATTGAATCTATTAATTATACAATATTTAATTGTATATTTAATAATACATTTTATATGCTATGTATACGCAATAATACACACACACACACATATTTATTTATTTATTTATTTATTTAGTTATTTATTTATACACTTATAGTTGTCCTTATTTCACTATTGTGTGTTAAGTTTATACATACATATTTTATTTATACTGTAAGTGGTTCTGCACTTTATCAAACATGATAAAACAGCGTGACATATTCCATCTCTCTCTTCCTTCCTGTTTTACCATCGAAATCTGACTTCATGTTTCGATTTTTTGACATTTATCCCTCGGGAACATGCGTAATATTAATTACATAAGGCGTTTTTTCGTTTCGATACCGTTTGATTGATTGGTTTGGTCCACTTAACGCTTGCAACGCCTCGAGCAACAAAGATAGAATGACGCTCGTGGCGTTGCGAGTTAAGTGGACCAAACTAACCAACCAAACGCTACCGTAATTATGAAACGAAAAAAAGGCCTATAGCAAAGCATTGTGAGAATAGGAAAAGTGGGGGAAACTGGCAGTCCATATTTATATAGTCAAAGCTTTGTGATAATTCCACTATCATGTGGTGTACTCTAGTCAGGAAGGGAAACATTATAGTTCCAACGACTGCAGCACCATCACCTAACATTTAAGGCCCATTGTTCCAATCTTTTGACCTAACAGTTAAATTATGTGCCTGTCGCTGTCAAATTTGAAGAAAAAACGAAGATAGATATGATTTAACTACGAGGTAGAAGAAGAGAAGAAGTTGAAGCAGGCAGAAGTTTCTTCGCG